TTGCTGTATGTTATTTAAATTACGTGAGAGGTATTTTTTTAAACTTAAAGCTATGCTTCTCATATAGAGGGAGAACTTACATGAAAAAAGTTATCTTTTTAAATTTAATACAAGAAATGCAATCCAATTTAACCTTTAAGATTTTACTTTCGCAAAAAATATTTGAGCACATCAATATTTTGTAATTTATTTCTCTTTTATAGTGCGTATCTTTCTTTTAACGGAAAATTATTACTATTTTAATTTAAATAACGTCATTCATTAGTATTCTTTAAAAATAAATACCTTTAGATACTTTCAGTAATCATAATGACAGACAGACATCAATTAAGACAGACATACCATTGACCCATAAAAGAAAACCTACGAATTATTTAAAGCTGCCGTGTAATTTAATACGGCTATATTATACCTGCCGTGATTATTCCTGAAATTATTTTTAAGATACGTTATCTTAAAATACACATTATTTTATAATAGATAAAGTAGTGACTCATTTGTCAGACGCATTTCCAGGAGCCGTGCGTTACTTACAGGTTAGATAAATGAACGTTATCTCATTGTAGGTATTCGTCTAAAGCACGTCCGGAGAATTATCTATGCAAATCTGCCAAACTATTTGCCTTTATCCGCTAATCCGATCGGGTTAGTCCACGGTTTGGAGATTTTTTGGTACCCTGCACCGACACTTGCTCCAGCAAAGTAAGCGATAAATTTATTAGTCTTACTACATTTTTAAGTCTACTTAATACTTCGGCCAAAACTTACAATCAACACTCACAATTTAGTTTTTAGTCATAGTTCAAAAAATGAACTGTAACTGAAAAACTAAAAACCGCAAATTCTTATTCTTTCTATTCAACGAGCTATAGACTAAAATAACATGGCTTCAAATGACTAATAGCGTACAGATGTGTCCATATATCAAAAAATATAAATTAGGGGTTTACGCGCTTGCCCTTGATGAATGATAATAATTAAAATTAAAGTTTTATCTTTCTTTCATCGCTAGCCACCCAAGCAAGGCCACTGGCCAGAAGGTATTTTACATAAATAAATAAATTTATATCAAGTGTTAAATTCATTAACACATTTGGTATTTTATTATCTTTACGGCCCAAAATCTTCGCTGATTTTATCAACGATTATCGTTTACTTCAGTTTTATTATTTGTATCCAGCCAAATACCTAAGAAATCGATTGCTTAAAATTTATTAAATCACTAACTCCGGAACTAAAACTTCAAAACTATTTAATATTTTCAAATTAGTTCGTCCGAATACAATCAGTATTATTTAAACTAATATTTAATGAGTTTAATGACTGATTGGTTAGTCTTAAGGAATATATTAATAAGGTCTCATTAACTGCTTAAAGGTTGATAAACTTTAAAGCTGATACTGAAGCATACTTAAAGTTTTGATTTCTCTAAAGTAAAATAATTGTTTTTTTTTTAAGTCGATGCATACTTTAAATATAACGATTCATACTATGTTATTAATAACTTTAAAAACTTAAGGATATAAGAGTATTTATTTCACGAACAGAATATGTCTAATATCTTTACAAAATAAGCATTCTCACTGGTTTACCTTGGATAACTTCTATCCCTGTCTTTGATCCTAAAATTTTACCAAGAAGTGTGAATGTAAAATAAGTCTCTAGGAATATAACAATTTACAACCGTGAACACTAGTTACAGTAAATTTAGGAAACACAATTACGTAACGAACCAAAAATTTTGAACTACTAATTCCAAAATGATAGCTTCAAAGTTACAAAGCGGAAACCTAATGTTGACGCAACAACATATGCGTTACATTCTTCCCTTTCAAGACTGTCATGGATGATTCCCTGGCGAATTTAAATTTGTAATTCCTTCCTTTGCCGGCTACCAATAACAGTGAAACATTTATTTAAAAAAACCCGCGACTCCGCAACTCCGCCCATCGACGGAAACAGCTGCAACCCTAATTATTACAAACATGGCCTCTTGAACATTGACTGAGGCATAGATAACTAGTGATATTGTTAATCACTTGTAGAAAACTATTATTAGTATAGCAGCTGGTTGATTAGACTAATACTTGTTAGTACTAGACGATTAATCAATATACCCCCCAATTACTTCAATGTCCTTTGTTAAACCACCACATTAGTATCAAGTGAAATGATTAGAATTTTAATTGGAGGTTTATCGATTATGATAATCTAGTTTCTTAATTTAGGAGGTTATTTTTTTTTTAAGTGAGTAAACTATTTATGATGACATCTACACGTCCTAAGCTAAACATAAGAGAACCTTTCTTTAAACATTTCATTACTTGGATGCAAGATATTTACGATTTTTAAAAGCTATGGGCGGTAACGATTACGGTTATAGAAGATTAAACTGATGATGGCGGTACAAATACATTCACTTCGTGGTTCTAAGAGACAATCTTCATTTTGCCTTGCATGTATTCTTTTGCATGTATGTAGGCTTTTCTAAATGTTATCCTGATTTAATAGAACAAAGATTAGTTTGAAATAAAGCACTAGAGATATATTCATACTGTAAATAAAATAAACAACTTGCAGACTTGCAAAATAAATTTGAAAAACTTCAACCATATTTATCGAGATATTTCATAAGAATCGCCATTAATACTTTTGTAATAAACCTGTCTGGATTCCGATAACATCACAATCTCAACTTCACCAAAAGCTAAAAGGTCGTTTATAGGGACATAAACGTTTATAGAATCATAAACCAGAACCAATCTATTGTTTCCAGTCGGCCTACGCCCGCTGACAACATAACTAATCGAACAATTCCGCTTTTTGTCTCTACAACAGACATAATCAATTGTCACTTCGACTACGAATATTTCCCACCTAAGTTCTAAATGTGTGAGATCCATTTCGAACGGGTTTGGAATAGTCCGGAGACAATAAACGATCGGATATCGTATTGCACGAAGAAAAAAGGTGATAGGTGACCGTTGTCGTAGTGTTGACGCTTGAATAGATGGCTCTCCTGTTCCAGACATGAGGCTACTTGATGGCCGTCATTTAAAGCATATAGTATTCCATACTTCATTATAGTCTAATGCATTGATTAAGATATTCGCGGTTTTTATCGATTCAACTTTTTAATACACACATTATAGGATGTCAATTCCAAATTAATCATTACATTCTTTATGGCTAGTAAAAGAAAATGAAAAGACCTGTGTACTGTACGGACTATAAACAAAAAGAATTAGCAAATGAAGACCTTACGTTTATATTATATGATATATTAAAATCTATTAAAACCAAATTTATTAATCTTGTATTTGACTCTAGAAATTTAAACAATTAAGTAGGTACTTATCATAAATGATCTTATTTGTAAGCTGCCTTCTAAGTTTCACTTGTACAAAGGTTATTTAACAATTTAGAGACATACTCGTAGTCAAAAGTCAATTAAAATGCCGTTTATTCATCACCGTCGTGGTCCGAAGATGATTTATAATTTCGCAGCAGGTCATTCAGCGCGAGCGCACTGTCGCGACCGCTTTTTAAATTAAAATCGTACGGGCTCGGGCGTGATCTTATCCGGCTCGATCAATTTAGATAAAATAAATATTTATACATTTGACTTCGGATGGGCGAACAAAGCCGTTCAGTAAATTGATTATGTCGGTGAAGAACTTACTTGACGTTCGCCGCTTTTGTATCACCTGTTCCGATTTTAGATATGCATTTATGGACTAGTTGATCTTAGGTCAAGTCATATGTTTATCTAAAGTTACTGTCGTTTCCATTTTAACATGTTGGAATTAAAAAAATATTTATGAACAAGAAGATGTCTGACATTATTGTGATTATAAGTTAAGTAAACTGTTAGGCACGTGTCTAAATAATGAGAGCTTAAACCTGTCGACGACCGACTGTCACCGTTTATATCGCATTTCGACTCAACATGTTGCATACATATTATACTTTTTATTAACATCTCTGGGAATTGACTGCGTGTTTGAACTAAGGTTTTACTGTTAGTCTCGTCATATTATGTAGTATAATCGGTTATTATACATATCACATGCTTCGAATGTTGGTAAGCACGCTTTCATGACAGGTATTTGTCACAAAATTTTGATATCACCATAGATTAAAATATGCATGTTTGTAGATAAAAATATTAAAAGACAATTTAGTAGATAAAAATATTATTTTATTCATACTCTGCATTCGGAAGCGTAATAAATACGAAAAATTTAATATCCTAGCTAAAAATTACATCACAAAATGATTTACTTACATAAACATCTTATAGTTTAGCTATTTACAATTGACTAGGGTACATTTCAGTTCAGCGATGCCTTTGACTTATTATCTAATATTTACACAATTTTAATACAGTTCTCACTTCACATGATAAATTCAGTGTAAGTACCTAACATTATCACAAAATACTTACCAAGCCAGTACTTAAACATAATCAGGAACCTTATAGTACCAGTTGCATGAATTTGTCATAAAATGCAGGAATACGAGCAAACATTACAATCTATGCGTATATGCAAAATGGAATGTACTGATTTACATAACTTCATCTACCTACAAATACACTTTGTATAAGAGAAAAGACAATGAAATGCTATTCAAACAGGTACAAAAGATACAATATATTCAGAATTCGTTATAGACATTAATTTAGTACTCATAGTACAATATTAGAAAACATTTTTAACAGCAATGCTATACAGGACCAACTACTGTTACTTCCTTATTCATAAACATATAGCAGTTACAAATTTGTGTTTCCCCTTCCTTTACATTTGCATGTAGCCAGTTGTAAGGAAACAAAACATTTTATGGATAAAATACTGCTATAAAGCGTTTACGAATAATACGATTACATTTAACCATTAGAGCACCAACAAAGATAAGCTTACAAACACAACTGAATCCTTTAACATCAAACAATCTAGTAATTTTATATTTTACAATTATATTTACAATTTTTTAAATTACACGAAATAAGTCTTTCTAGGATGTGTTGTACTCGACATGGGAATTTGTTGAGGGGGCCTGAGGGGACGCTCCTCACATTGATGATTGTCAATAGAAACGTAACTGTGATGATGAGGTAAACGATCGTCAGCCCTGCCCTCACTACTCGCCACCGAACATGTCTCATCCTCCGTACTACGCGCTGAAACTTCTGCGCTTGCGCTAGTCGAATGCATAGGACTCGACATCATCAAACCAGGGGGACTCATGCCGTATTTATACCACGGATCGTGAGACGTCGGCGGCGCTGTATACCTTAAATTACCGTGCCGACCAAACGCTTCCCTGTTACTACTTTTCAAATTATTGGCGTTATGAAGCGTCCGATTTGGCAGTGTCACGTCCACATCCGGTAACCGAAAATTTAGCTTTTCCATACAGTTTCTTTCACCCCACACGATCACTGTACACGTTTTAAGTAACACTTTTAGATCCGGGTCAATACTAATAGCACTTAAATCAGTCGTTACAAGGAATATGATCTTTTGACGTCTATGCCTAATATTCACTGAATTAATTGCACTTTGCAGAGCCGCATTTGATTCCGCAACGTACCATTCTTGTTGCAAGAAAGTTATAGATAACACTATCACGAGTCTTTTAGAACTTTCAGAGGCACTCACTAAACTGTCACCAGAGCGTCTTTCACAGAGCGGTAGATCTCTGTGTTGTAAACACAACATGTGTCCAATGTTTTCTAACTCGGAACTCACCGCACGAGTAACGAAGTCTTCGTCTCGTGGGTTGTATACAAAAAAAGCATCGAACCGCTTGTTTTTGTTGTCGTTCATATCTTTCGGTGTAGAAGTAAACACTCTCACACCGTATCTCGAATGCATCCACAATTTGAAATCTTCCCGGAACATGAAGAGTAAAGCGCACATTAGCAACAGAATAATAACTATTATCAGCACCGCAGCGATATATGGAATGTAATTTTCAACACCGTCATTGGATTCGATGAATAATCGCTTTAATGTCTCGGTGCCAGTCTCTTCAGTAGTGATTTCTGTTTTACATTCCTTTGCTACCGTCGCGATAGTTTTATTCATAGCTTGTCCATGAGCGAAGTAGCACATCATACTTTCGGTGTCTTTGGACTTCTTTAACAACCACTGATTCAGCTGACTAACGTCTTTACAATCACATATCCAATTGTTGCCATCAACGGAGACGCGAGTACGAGGGTCGGCGTCGGTTATAACTCGCCATGGCATATAATCAACGTAACCGTTATTGTCAAGACCCAAGAACTCCAAGGAAGGTAGATAATTAAAGGTATCGTTTTCAATTACTTTAATTTTATTATTACTTAAATAAAGTTCATTCAAATTGGGTAATCTCGTAAACTGAGTATTGTGGAGTACTTCTAAATTATTTTTTTCCAAATGTAGAATCCTCAATGACTCGATCCCGTTGAATGTTCTATTTTGTATTGTGTTGATATTGCTGTTATTGAGATATAAAACTTGTAGCTTTTTTTTGCCTATGAAAACGTGATTTCCCAGTTCTTTCAAGTCGTTTCCATCTAAGTATATTTCGGTCGCGTCCATCGGTATTCGCTCCGGTACGTGATCGTAGTCAGCATTTGAACAATCAACTACGTTAGTGGTGGTCCATGTTTGATCGTGATAACACCGGCACTTATCAGGACAAGTCATCTTACAATCACAGGCGTCAAAGTCACAACAATGGCATACTGCGAAACAATGCGACTCGTACTCGCACAAAAATTCTGAGGATCTTACTTCTAGCAATAGCATTTCTGATCTTGTTCGAGAATGAGTTAAAGAGCACCTTACACTTTCTAAATCCATTACTCTCGGTCGCTGCCTGGGTTCAATTAATTGATTAATTGTTTGAAGCCATTCCATTGTGCAGTCACATACAAATGGATTTTCACTTATATAAAATTCTGGTAAATCTTTATCATCCGACACAGTTGATATTGCGAAGGCGCCAACCTCTAACGTGCTTATTTTGTTTTCATACAGAATAACTTTATTTAAATTATATTTTTGTAAAAATGTCCCTGGACTTATTTTCTCTATATTGTTATTGTTCAGAACAATGGTCTCTATGCTGCTTGGAAAGGACAGTTCATCAATACTTCGTAATTTATTATAACTGACATCGAGCATTTTCACGGAACATGATTCCTTTAGCCCATAGGTGTCTTCAAGTTTCTCAATTTTATTCTCGTGCATATCTAACCATTCGAGATTTGTCGGTATATGACTGTAATCAAACCAGAGTAACTCGTTGTTTGAGACATTTAACCAAACAAGCGGTTGGGTGTTTGTAAATATGCCTTTCAAGTCAACAAGTTTGTTACCATCAAGTCCAATTGCTTTTAACTGTTGATTTGGGGCGAAAGCTCCATCATCTATTTGATCTATGTTGTTTGAAGCTAAGTTTAAGATTTGTAGCGACGGTAGAGCAGCAAATGTATCTTTGGATATCTTTTCAATTTTATTTCCAACAAGACGTAAACCGTACAGATCATCCAGGCCTTCGAATTGACTGACGGATACTTTTGTTATTCTATTCATCCCCAAATCTAATGATGTCAAAAATCTGAGAGTTTTAATTGCTTCCGGTACCTCCGATAATTGGTTCCCACTAAGACCTAGATCATGAAGTTTTGTTATGTTTTCAAAAGACCGTAAATCTACCTTCGTTATTCTATTGCCATCAAGGAATAACTGATTGAGTACGTAAAGATTAGAGAAATGACCGGTGTCTACTTCTATAATGTTGTTATGTGCGAGCGAAAGCGAATGAAGGTTCTTCAAATTAGTAAAAGCACCATCCGCTACACGTGCTATGTTATTGTGTTCTAAACTTAGAAATTGTAGGTTATTTAAATCTTGAAACAACAATGTATCTATTTTTGTTATTCTGTTGTATGACAAATTCAAAACTATTAGACGAACTAGTCCCGAAAAAGTATCTCTATTAACCCACTCACTCGTGAGCTCATTCACTGATAAATCTAATATTTGCAATTGATCTAATCCTTCTAGTAGTCCTGGAGCAAGTACGCTAAGTGAATTGTTATTTAAATATATTTGTTTGATATCTCTTGACGACTGGAACATTTCGGGTGGCAGAGCAGTTAAAGCATTTGTCGATAAATTTAAAATTTGCATATCACTCAGGCCTACAAACGCACGATCCGCTACTGATGATATCCTGTTGTTTTGTAGAAATAATTTCTGAAGAGCACGTAAACTGGACAATCCATTATCAGGTAGCGTACGTATTTCATTATATGACATATCTAATGTTTCCAACACAGTATTACATGATTTGCCCGGTGCAGTTGGGCCGTTGCCCCAATCTGAGAACCCCAAGTTCGATATGTCTTGTAGTCGATTTTGTGTTATATTCAATTCCTTCAAATTGTATAATAGACAGAATATTTCAGGTGGTAGATTCCAAATGTTATTATCACCCAGATCCAAAGTACGTAAATCAGTTAAACCACGGAATGAATCTCTGTGAAATTCCATAGACATCGCAGACCAATCTGTGTTGTGAGTTCGAAGAGTAAGAGTCCGTAATCCACTAAGAGGCGACAATACCGCAGAAGGCACATATCGAATCTTACAAGATTCTATCCTCAGTTCCCTTAAATTATGAAATCGAGATAGTAATTGAGTTCCTTCTTCTTTTCTTCTACCAAAATCGAGAGAACTTTCGAAAAAGAGTACATCAGTGCAATGTAGATCCAGCACGGTAATTCGCTGCGCCTGTGAACTACTAAGACCTTCAAGTAACTCTGTGGCGCCGGCAGCGGTCCGTAGCGAGCAAGCCAGCTGAACGCGAGTGGATTCACTAGCATCACCAGACACTCGCTGCCACTCGCACTCCTGAGGAGCCTCAGCTACGCGGCTCGTAAGCGAAGCTGCGCTAGCCCCTAAGTGCATCCAACTCCAAGCAGCACACCACACAGTCAATAATCCCATCGATAACATTTCGAATAACTCACTGTTAACTGTCACTTTATTTAAATTGTCACCGTTTGACTCAATAATATCACACACATCGCTGCATTAGTCCGGACGCACTTGGAAAACTTTACGAATTTCCCGTCAAACTTGTTTCGAAATGCGACACATAACGGCACGAGTGCGGCGAGCTGAATCACAGCAACCGCCTCCCTCGAAGACTCGTGAGAAGCGACTGAGTTATGTAGCGCGAAGCAAGTTGAGCGACCGGCCAGCCGGCACGCTCCCCGCGCACGCTCGCTCCTCCCCTGACAGAGACGTCCGATAAGCTCGTCTCACTTCTTTACAAAAGTTCTCAGCAACAAGTTGCTCGCCACGAGATTGGCGTATGAACAGAAGCGCGCTTCGCGAGCTTTTATAAACATGGCCGTGTTCACTTTGTTTGTTTTGTCTACTCATAAAATTTCAATTGAGTTCCGACGGCGTAAAGCGTGCTACCAAGTACAATAAAAGTTATAATTATTGTAAAGTCGGTGGAAATACCAATACTGAACAGAGTGGACCTGTGAAACACTCAAAGTTATTGGACGTGGACAATCACAGTACAGGACCTAATTAATTTTAAATAAAAATGTTACCTATTTTATAAAACTCAAATTGAGTTTTTTGTCTCCCTTAAACCAATTTATATAAGTCAATTTATCAATTTTATGTATCAATATTTCTAGTACAACTCTCGCATTTTCTTACAAAAGTTTTTGTTTCTGCGGTTTATACTCGTATTCACTTTTCCGGTATAATTCGCATGAAAATATTAGAAATGTTGAATACAATAAGACAACAGATAACATCGACTTATCACCTTTTATCGCTCGAAAGTAGTTGTAAGACGACGTGCCCATTCTCACATGGCCACTGATAATGTACAATTTATTTTGGTATCGTTTCTCATAATTTTCTTTTGTTCTAGACAGGAACTCCTACCTGCGTCATGACGGTTTGGCTTTGGCGATAACACCATTAACACTCGCCTTATCGGAATTTCGAAACGATGAACGGACCGATGACATCATAAGTTAAAAAAAACTGTGTATAATGAGCAATTTCCTTAAAAAAACATTATGCATTTAGGTACGTAATAGACGGTTATCAGACAACCCCGATAAAGTTCTTTAGCTTAAATTTCTTAAACTTGTACCCAGAGCAACTACGGTCTGTACAGATTCAAACAGTCACAGTAGTACCTAAAGAATAGAATAAATAATTATTGAATAATAAATATATTGACGTAAATTTACAATGCGAATAGCACAAAATTAGGATTAACTCCGCAATTTTCAGAAGCATTTTATAAAGAAACGAAATGTAAAGAAATTTTATGAAAAAATATTATAGTTTTCTTAATGCAAAATTCGGAAAGAATCGCGATTATTAACGCTTCGCTGCTTAAAGTTGCGTCTACGCGTCTTAGCAAATTTTAGCAGATCCTGTAACCTGCATTTGTAAACCAGACAGATTGGCCTGGCTGTGGCCGAGCTCTCATCAGATCTCTCTAGAAAGAGAATTCAATAATATATAAGCTTGGGTGAATGCTCTGGCATTACGGACTAGTGTAAGTACTTATCGAGTTCTTAATTTTTTTTAAACTAAGATTTAACTAATTATATTTAAACACCCATCTACTACTGATAATTTATTTCTTTTTTGTACACATTATGTTTAATAATGTAATTTCCTTGGCACTTAGCCAAGGAAATTACGTGTACAAAGGCGAGCTTAACCCAACTTTTTCCAGCGAACCTTTACAGTGAATTGAGTATAGTAGAGAACGTAAGGGCAAATTCATGTGTACTTAGAAATAAATAGAATAAAAAGTATATTATTCAAACAAATACCAACATTCATTCATCGTATGGCAATTATATATTATATATGATACAACATCAAATATAGATAAATACAGACATTTATACATTTAACAAACTAAGGGCCGAACTATTGTCGAGTCGTAATAAATATAAAAAAACATTTACTAATATAAACTTATAGGTCCTTATTCAATTCATTCATAGCTCAATCCAAACTATTAGAATAAGTATAGCATTTTTCTCAGGTTAATAGAAAGTAAGGCTTGGAGTTCCATAGGAAGGTAGTTGTTGCCACACTTCTAGCGTAGCGTTATTATAGGTCAAAGTAATACCGACTATGGCGAATGTTAAAAGTTTCCGAGAAGCACTTATTTTAGAAGAAACGTTTTTGCATACCTAGGTACATAAAAAATATCGCATTATGGTTCTTAACTGAAAATATATGCCTGAGGCCTGAACCCTTAAAGGGCACGTCAGAAAAACCTCTGGGAATGGGAACACGCAATTCAGTTTTACAAACAAAAGGCGTCGGGGAACGTTAAAAGAGCTTTATTGGCATACTCGGCGGCAAAACACAAAAATTGTACCGCAAAGAGTTAACTGATCTAAACGAGTGCACTCCGCAATGAGCTGACGCGCCATCCGTGGCACAACATGGACGTTTTACTTTAAATTTCTTCAGGACCAATAAATATATGTATATCATCACTTTATCACACCGATGATTAGGTTTAACAGTTTACTGCTCACGTACATTTTTCAGTTTTAGTAACTAATTAATAAGTTATTAGTTAGTCACATAATTGATACCAAATCTTTAAGAGTATATTATGAGTTATTAGAAAATGATATTTAGCAACAAAAGAGTGGAACAAAATTTATAAAGGTTGTCTAAAAAGGTATCAATTAGGAAAAACCTTGCCTCATAAACTTTACTTTTATAATATATTAAAAAAAATGGACGTAATACTTATTTCAATGTAAATTTTCATTACAAGCTGTGATTTTTTAATTAAAATAATATGTTATTAAAATAAACATGATGAACATAACATCATGACAGTGGTTAGTAATCCTACTTGCTAAAACCGAGATCGTGGTTTCGATACCCACCGAGGACAAATATTGTGTGATGAGTATGATTACTTGTTTATATATAATCTATAAAAGTTATAAAAAATGTTGTTACTAATTTTACAAAGCTACCCTTAAAAAGCGTTGCAAGTAAACGATTTTTTTTTAACTTATTTTGATTCCAAACTCTTAGTGTAATGTGTATATTCTCTATGAAAAATAATGATAATTAGACACCTATTTTTTTACTTTTAAAACAGTACGTATGTTTGTTAGTCAATCACGCCAAACACCCACCGGATCTGGACGAGATTTGACACATAGATAGACTACTATTTATCCCGGCCAAATTTATTGACAAAATTGACATTTAAGCGAGCGATGCCATTGGCAAAAGCTAGTATGTTTATATTTTAGAAATGTCTGAGTATGTTCAAAAATAAATATATTGACGATGGCTTGGCCTATTACGTAAGTGAGACTAAAATGACAGTCGGCAAAATGTTGGCCTTTAATACCTACCTCTCCTTCTCCTCCTTTAGCTAGGCAACAGCTGATTGTTTCTAGTTTAGAACTTGTTGAATATTAGGACTTAAATAATAGAAATAGGATAAATTAATTTTCACTCGTTTTTTAATTTTCTCTTTGAATTGTTTAAACGATATAAAATTAAACTTAAATCAACATTTCAAGCTACCAAGGTTATTCGTATTTCTTTTATAAACATTTTTTTACAACGTAATTTTCATCGAGGTAGCATTAATAGCATCTCCGACCTTAAACTTTTTGACACAGATACGACTTAGTGAATAATTTCTAAAATTGTTTATTAATGTATGCAGTGAGCGTTCTTATCTCATCAACAGCATTGCTAACGTTCAGCCCTTTCACTCAGGAAGTTGTAAATCACAACAGCTCTACCAACTCGTCAGCCGATTCTTACGTACCCACCAAAAAAAACTGACCTCTCCTGTCTACCCATGGTTACACTAAACAGGCGACAAATGAAACATTTCCCCTTTATATTATAGTTCTTCATTTAATGGTTCGTGCTTAGGCAAACCGCTGAAAATGTTTGAATCGACTTTTATTACATACACATCCTACGTTACTCTGTCGTTCTAATGAGATATGAGGAAATAAAAATTCGAATGTACAATACCAGGTGTTGAATTCATGTCAACAGCACATAAGACATAATGTCCTTTAAAACAACATTACATCACTATTTTAATATTATTTAACGAACTTTGTCATAATGAAAAATCCTTCATCTGTTTTTTTGTTGAGTTGCAAGTTTTTATGCAAGGTTTTATAAATTAGCATGATTGATGTTTCCTCACACTAAAACGAAATTTTAAATAAGATTCTATTCGCATATCAACATCTTAAGTAAAGGTATGGACTGCTTTAGTAGTTCACTTGTAGCCTAACTCTATCATACGATATTAAAACACAAAAGAAGGACCATAGTATTAGGTCACACGATGAAAGTTATTTCAGAACAAAATATGTATCATTCTCGTTTAAACGTAAGAGCTACATTAAATAAACTACTACATTACCCTAATGATGTAAGATAAAATGAACATGTGATTTTGATCACCATAACTAACCACATTACGAGTCGAATCGATGCCCGCCAACTGTTCCCTATGGTTCCTGGGTTCTATTATCTGTCAATAAATAGGGCCCATTGTGTGATTTGGCAAAAAACGCATAAATCGAATCGATCTTCGTAGCTGTCTTCTATTCATTTTGTTACTGTGTTTCCATGGATCTAATGGCCAGATTCCCTAAAGACCCATACATATATGGTGGTAGTAAATGTCAAAATATTTTGTATCAGTTGTACTAATGGTTTGTAAAGTCCGCATTAAGGTTTCATTGTTGTCGTTGTATTCGCAAACTGTGACCAAATGTTGATATTGGTTATAAATTGCAATATTTTCCTATGACAAACTAAACGTGCTTAAGATATTTACTATGGACTTGATGTATAAAATAAGCGTTTTTTTACTTTTACTCCGATCACAGATCCATTCACCGATCGCTTAATTCATAAAAACTGGTCACGTCTCCAGT